GTTCGGTGGCGGAGTGATCCTCGCCAGGTCCCCCAGGCAGGAAGTGTGGAGTCTGTTGCTGGAATCAGAGGAGTGCACACTTGGGTTGATATGGAGGAGTGCAGCTTGCAATGTTCATAGAGGCTCATCAGCCAGGTAGAAGATCAGAGGAGCCCCCCCTACTCCAGAGACCCCCTGAGTGAGCTCCAGCTCGGCTGTGCGACAGGTAAGGATCTGATACATTGTTGCTGCTGTTACATTGTATCTAGTGGGGGGATCCTGGCTGCATGCTGCTGCCTTGTGTATATGGCTCCGGGTTCTTGGAAGTCAGGCTGAAGGTTGCCTGGGCTAAATAAAGCTTCCATCAGGGCTGCTCCAGGTCCTGGCACTGTGTCCCCTCTGGGCTCTCAGGGAGAGGAGACAGAGCCCAGTGACAGCTGCCTGACTCTGCCACTCCAGGATCTCCCCATGTCGCTTTATTGTGACTTTGTGACAACTGAGCTGCCATCTGGGTATTGGACTTGTAACCCCGGAGAGTCCCGAATGTTGACAACGTAGAAATAGATATTATTGCAGATACTTCTACACAGGATCGCAGTGTTTACAAACATTGGGATACAACATGCAACAATGTACAGCATTATACAACAACATAGAACAGTATGCAACAACATAGAACAATGTACAGCAATATCCAGGAATGTAGAAATTATACATTATTGCAGAAACAAGATCGCAGTGTTTACAAACATTGAGAAACAACATAGTACAATGTACAAGAACATACAACAACATAGAACAATGTATAAGAACATACAACAACATAGAGCAATGTACAAGAACATAGAACAATATACAGCAACATACAACAATATACAACATAGAACACTATCCAGCAATGTAGAAATTGATATTATTGCAGATACTTCAAAACAGGTTCGCAGTGTTTACAAACATTGAGAAACAACATAGAACAATGTACAATATACAGCAAAATACAACAATGTACAGCATTACACACAACATAGAACACTATCCAGCAGTGTACAGCAATATACAACCATGTACAATATACAACAACATAGAACAATATCCAGCAATGTACAACAATGTAGAAATGGATATTATCGCAGATACTTCTAAACAAGATCGCAGTGTTTACAAACATTGGGAAACAACATAGAACGATGTAGAAGAACATAAAACTATGTAGAACAATGTAGAATAGTATCCAGCAATGCAGAATCAATGTTTCTCTCACTTGATGCTGTCATTGTTTAAATCTGAACTCCAAAGATACAAATTAATACTTTTGTGTATTTATATTAATCATTAAATGTATTTCTTTTAAACGCAAGCAGTGTATGCAGCTAAATATGATTCTATAACGCACACATACAGTATATGTTGATAAACATTCAGAGACTACTTTATGTATATAATATATTGATACATTCTCATTACTTTGGACACTGTGAATACACACACACACACACACACACACACACACTTATTTAGCAGCACTTTGTTTATACAACTTAAAACCTCTTCAGGATACTTATACAGCAGCTTTAGGATGGTTCTTATTTAGTAGCTGCAGTGCAGGATATTTCTATAGTTTAAAGTGACACTAAACACAATTGTACCAGTGACTACAATCTCACTGCAAATTAGTAAACTAAACATGAGATTGTAGTCCATCCCGGGGGGGGGGGGGAGCTTGGAGCGGTGACTACTTTACAACACACACAGGGACCATGGGGAACAGACGTAGCCCCCCTCCAGAAGGAAGGACAGTGTCAGAGATGATTGGAGGATCTACAGCCGAGTGATACACAAATAAGATACATTGTTGCTCAGAGTTCGGGGACTGGAATTTACTTTTAAGATTTAATTCCTGAGTTTAGTGTCACTTTAAATTTGACTCAGTATCAGCCACTTACAATCTCAGTACAGCAAAGCTTAGACTAGGAAAGGGGGGAAGCAGCGCAAGGAAACAAGCTAACAAGGAACAGAAAGATTTAGCTGGCCATACACTGTAATATTTTCTTCGCTCAACCTG